ACTCAACTCTCTCTCAAAACTGATGACCAAATCCGCAGAAGAGGTACGAGACGGAAAATAGCATGTTACTTATCTATTATTAGAAAAAAATGAGAACAATAAATCATCACATAGATCAAAGACACGTAGCAGGAACATAGTATCACAAAGGGGAAATCACAAAGGGGAAAACCACACAATAATATTTGGAAGGAAGAATCACTTTTCCCACTTTCAATAAAACAAAGTGAACACAAGCACGAGACGGATACCATCCGTAAACTTGACACATGCCATCGGGGAATGCACAGGGAGTCTTTATTTGACAGATTTGTAAACCATAGAAAGGAAAACAGGCTACAAAATGCCCACATGACCTCAGGCAAACTCTGGAGTCCCTTACTGACTGACACCCTTACAGAGACATATAAGATCATTTAGGAGGCGGGCTTCGAACCTGCCTGTCGTGACCAGCCCGCGCTGAAAGGGATGTAACAACGTCCCAGCAGAAAGACAGAGATACTCGATAAACATTTTCCCCCAACACGAGAATCGAACTCGGGCCATTGGCGTGCGACGACCAAGCGTCTAACCGACCGACTTACCAACAAAGTTTCATCAGCTCAGTACCTAACTTTAAGAAATTCAAATCTGACGTTAGAAATTATGAGTTTCACACCATTACAGTTCTTTTCACATCTTGATAACGACTCCGAATAATCTTACGATTTTGACAGAGAAGACAGAACCTTTGATTTCTGTCCTTCTGGTTTTAGTAACTCAAAACGGCTTTAAAAAATGTCAGATAGAACTTTGTAATTCTAAGGAAGCGATGTGACAAGGCAAAGCCAAAGAAAAAAAAACCATTCAAGTATTTATTTTATGCAAGATGCTGCGTAGGACTGTAGGGTAGTAGCAGGAGTAAAAGAGTCGGATTTTTTCAACCCTCAAGATATCTTTCACTTTCAACAAACGATAGTTTAGTCTTCTCCGTCATCTCCTCGATCACACAAGAGAAGGACGTGACACATGAGGACAAGTATTATCAAACCTATGAGCGACTGAGAGTTTGCTTTGGTCTTCAGGTCTCGAAGTACTCTTCCTTATTTTGTTCTTATTTGAACCCCCCCCCCCCCCCCCACTTTCCCCCATCACCCCTCCCACTTCAGCCGTGGTTATACATCGACTCATGAGACAGAAGAGACTACACTATTATACTAAGTAGTTTTTAAAAAAAATGCAATTCCCACATAGAGAAGTAAAAGGCAGTAAGTAGGTTTTATAGCATTTTCCTTCACAGCGATGCAGAGCAAGACCGACCACTTCTCCCTAGGAACAGAAAACGATCTGGCAACAACGACATTCAAATGCAAAAGCAGATGGAGCAGATCACAACACAAACTGCCTGAGGAGGAGCGAAGAATAAAAGACGTACAGAAGAAAGCAGAATGTTCTAAGAAATAGATTGGATGAAAAGAACGACTACAAAACAAATTTAAAAAATAATTAAATAAATAAAATGTAAATAAATAAATAAATAAATAAATAAATAAAACTATTAGGACATACCAGCAAACGTTTGATAGAAAACAGGGCAGCGACAGGCGTCAATCTCTGGATTATCCTGTAAGTCTTCATTGTTTAAAAAACTTGCTGACGTCTACAAAATTGTAAGTCGGTTAAAAACCAACACAATCCGACCCCGAACAAACACGGAGACTTCTTCTCTTATATCTTACCCAACACCTTTACAGACATGTTTTTAAAAAGTATAAGAAGCCTAATTAACAACATGCTCCCAAACAAGATACGTATTTCCCATTTGGAGGTACAATGTATGTCACTTTTTGGCTACTTTAAGTTATGGCGTGGGTTGGAAAATAATGCGTGTACGTGTTTGGAGAAAGGTTTCCGTTGTCGGCAAAGCTATGAGCAAACGGGGTGAAAAGATCAAGAAAGTTGTCCCTGGTCAAAAATTTAGTTCCATCGGAAAACACACATTTAACAGTTTCTTAATAACATATTGAAACAATTTTATAATATCTTAAAGTCTAATTATTATTTATTTGTTATTTGTGCGACATGTTGTACTTCACCAAAGGTTTAACATAGCTAAAAATTGTGTTTTTCTCAAAACTTTGTTTTCACACTCTCTGTTACAAAGTGGCGTGTCTTTAAAACTACTCAAAACATTTGGAAAACTAAAAAATCAGCTGTTTAGCATTGTATTTGCAACAAGAATATATGCATTCGTTTCAATGTCCAAGATTTCTGACAACTGGTTCCTTTCTCCAGGCAGACCCAGGCGCCTCTTCTCTCCCACCTAAGTGTCCAGTACCCAGTGCCGGAGTCTGCTGAGTCTCCCAAACATCAGGCTTGAAAACTAAGCTGTATAGAGCTAAGCTACGGGAACACGTGGGTTGTCAAGAACATCTGACTTTTGGTTTTCAATTTTCTAAATGCCAAAAAGTGACAAACCTTCATCTTCCTTTGCATCTTTCTCTTAACAAATGAACTCGTCATGTGATAACATAATAATCTTACTGAGAGAAAAAAAACCAACCCCTCAACTGATCCAGATTTCTTTAACGAGATAAAGTTCAGAATAAAAAAGGGTAGATCTATACACGTACTACCATGACGTAATCCAACCTACGACTTCTAAAATCTTCCTTAATAGAGGCTGAGGTAATACTGGTTACGCCACATTTTTTTTCCAATTAAAATTACGAGATAATTTTTTTTAAACCTCTCCAAATAACATTTTCCACAAAGCAATTTAAGTACGATATATATTTTTAAAAAATTATACCAACTCTTGAAATGAGAACGCTTACTGAAGAGTACTAGTATCTAGTAAATTACCGTGTCACAAAGAGATTTACATCCCAGCTGAAGAGAGACCGGGACACTAAATTAAATATTTAATATTAATAATAATAATAATAATAATAATAACAACAATAACAATAATATTCGAGAAACAGAAATAAAAAGTAGGTGAAGAGTATTACAAACACAGCGATATACACATCGGCGAGCCCAACGCATTGAAATCAATACTTTAAAGAATTAAAATGTAAAAAAAATTTTAAAACCCAAAAGGTAATGCACACGTTTACCAACAGCAGCCCACCAATATTGGAAAATAAATATACCCCCCCCCCAAAAAAAACCCCCCAAACAAAACAAGATAAAATACCCAGTACGTCGAATTATGAAGTGAACTAAAAACAAACGAACAGACAAGCAAGCAAACAATCAAATCAACGGACGGACTGACGAGCACGCGACCAGCAAGACCACGACCACTTCTCCCTAGGAACAGAAAACGATCTGGCAAC